ATCATTGAAATGAGATTGGCAAGTCTGCGAGAGTGTCCTGCACAGATGTCGCAGGGAGTTTCAACTAGAACCGCTAAGCAGCTAGAGGATCTCGTAAGCTCCAGAATAAATGAGGAGTGCGACCTCATAGAGCTGGAGCTGCAGCGGTTGAAGGGGTTGGAACAGGAGGCATACGCTTGCAAAGAGGTAGTATGCGAGACGCTCGCATTAGTACTGAAAGCAAGGGCGTTGCAGAGTGACACTGTGAAGCAGAGAGCTGAGCAGCACGGGAATGTGCTGTCGTATAAGGTTGAAAATAAAGCCGCACTTGGACAAGCGGCATCTCAGAGTAAACATTCTGATGGTTTTCGCTTTCAGAACGCTGAGGCAGGAGGCAGCGGAAACGCGACAGAGATAGCCTATGAGCAGCTGAATGTAAGCGACTTCGATCATGTCGAGTACCATCTGAACTTCGATCCAGTCGCTGCTGCTCAAGGTAAGCTTTATGAAAACGGTAAAGCTAGCAAAGTGAAGCATGAGATATCTGAACCAAGGCTGTTGCAGCCAGAAAAGATGACCGACTACAGGCCGAGGACCAGGGGCTCGAGCCAATCGTCGTCGATGACGTTCCAAAGCCCAGGTGGGTCATCCTGTTCAGAGAGCCAAATAGGCCATATCTTTGCATCGATAGCCCTACCCGAAGTAGAGGTGTACAAAGACCCTGAGGGGAGAAGTTTCGAGGATTTCATCATGAGGTTTTCGATGAAATACCAGAACTTAAGGCTCCAGGATGAGTTGCTTAACCACTTGCTGCTTTCGAAATTGGACGGGTACCCAAAGGCAGTGGCTAAGGCACTACCTAAACACATAAGGGAAGGAAACTTCGACGACTTAGTCGATGCATTGAGGTCGAAGTTTGAGGTAAACAGTTCGTCCATTCAAATGAAAGCGTATATGGATTTGAAGCGCTTGAGAAGGTCGGGAGACGTGACAAGGTATTGTCTGGACTCGCATCAGGGCAGGAGAGTTGGTAAGCCAGTTGACGGACTGGCCCGAATATCTTCAACTCTATACGACCATGGAGATTGCTCCAAAGGAGGCGGCATATGAAATGGTCAAAGCCATGGCGCAAAGATGCGAGAGAAGTAGAGAGGTCGCGACAGCAATAAGAGAAACTTCTACAGGTTATAATCAAAGTCGTGAGGAACGCAAAAGACGCATAGCTGGTCAAAAGTTCAAGCGAGTAACGCAGAAAATTCTGCGACACAACCAACAGGCGCAGTTGACAGGAGAGAAGCGCGCTCAGAGGATGAACAGCGGAAACTCTCTGTAAGATGCTACAACTGTGATAAACAGGGACACCTTAAAAGAGACTGCCCGCTTCCCAGGAAGTCGAATGCCAAAGAGAAGTCAGCGAGTGCCAGTAAACAAGCAGGAACGGCGAGAGTATTCACTGCATCCCTAAAAAAGTGGATATGCGGTGCAGTGGAGGCCAGGATAAAAGCGAGCTTGTGGGAGAACAAACAACAACAGAAGTGCATCTACTTGGATGTCAGTAAGAAGCTTTGTTGGACACAGGTTCCCAAATCAGCATCATACCACTGCGAATACTCCAAACAGCTTGGGAATCAGGCTTTGACTTGGATGCTGACGTGGAAGAAATACCACTGGAACAGCAGAAGCAGGTATTAGATGCTTCGGGTAATAAAATGTCCTTCAAGGGAGCTATCAAGCTAACGCTGCAAGTATCCGACGGAAGGAAGGTGCGAATCGCTTTGTTTGCCATGTCCGGAGGAGACGGCATGATAGTTCTAGGAACAAATGCACTTCAGAAGCTCGGCTACGGCCTCACCTACCAGCACCGAACAAATCCATTGCACCCTCTCACTGATGAAGGAGAGAACTCTCCCACAATAGTAAAAGGACAGTGAAACATGAGAAGAAATCTCTAATAGTTGTCTTCCAGTAACCATTGCCAAAAGGATGTACCTACGTCCAGGCGAGACGAAGTCGCTACGTGTTCACTGTGATGGCACGGCGCAGGAGGGAATCTTTTGGTCCAAGGAACACCTGCTACCAGATGTCGTATGGAAAGGTGGAAACCAGGCAACAGAACTACCTATAACAAATACCTTTGCAGGAGCAAAGATTTTCCGAGTAGGGGAGGAGGTGGGAACCTTCGAGCCTACCGAAGTTGTGGAAGTGCAGCCTGTCAAATACTCCGGAGACATGTTGCAGCGCACCGTGGAGGTAACTGGAGATCGTGAAGAAAAATTGCTCAGGTTACTGCAAAGTAACAGGACAAGTGAGGAGTGCAATGAATCACTGGAGAAGCTTGTCAGGCATTACGCTCATGCTTTTGCAGTAAGTGAACAAGAGCTCACTCAAACAACGCTAGTGGAACACAGTATTGAGACCGGTGATGCAATGCCCATTAGGCAGAAAGCCCGTCCGGTGCCACTAGGCACGCGAGTGGAGCTACGACGCATTCTGAATGATTTGCAAGAACGAAAGATCATTGAACCAAGTAAATCGAGTTGGGCTTCGCCCATCGTGTTGGTGCAAAAGAAGGACGGAACTCTCAGATTATGCGTGGATTATCGGAAGCTCAATCAGGTGACAAGGGTTGACAGTTATCCCTTGCCAACGATTGACACGATTTTGCAAAGCTTGAGGGGTAAAAGTTACTTCTCGACTTTGGATTTATCGTCAGGCTACTGGCAGATCAGCTTGTCGGCTGATGCCAAGGAAAAGTCGGCGTTTACGACTACCGAAGGCTTATACCATTTCGGGTTTTGCCATTCGGTCTAGCGTCCTCGCCAGCCGTCTTCCAACGACTGATGCATGTTGTTCTTTGTCCTCTGCTAGGAGAAGAAGTGTTCTGCTACTTGGATGACATAATGGTAGCGACCGGAACAGTGGAGCAGCATCTAAGAGTCTTGGAACGAGTTTTTCAAGAATTGTCGAAAGCACGACTCAAATTAAATCCAAAGAAGTGCGTTTTGTTGGAGAGGAAAGTTGAGTTCCTCGGCCACGTGATTGACCATAGCGGGTTGCACATGGATCCAGCCAAGGTCGAAGCGATCCCACTGCCACAGTCTCGGTCGGACCTCCGGACGTTCCTCGGATGTGTTCATATTATCGAAAGTTTGTTCTGGGACGTCGGAAAAAGTGCCGTTTGAGTGGAATTCTACAAAGGAGTCATGCTTTGACAAGCTTAAGTCTGTAATTGCACAGGCGCCAGTGCTGGCGCAGCCAGATATTGAAGGAGCTAGGAGCGGAAGAAAGCCTTTCAAAATTCATACCGACGCCAGTATTCAAGGACTTGGTGCTGTTTTGAGTCAGGAGGGAGAAGATGGATTCCTACATCCAGTGTTCTTCGCGTCGAAAGGCTTGTCTCGGTGCGAAAAGAACTACCACGTGACCGATTTGGAAGCATTGGCGGTTGTTTTCGCTTTGCGAAAGTTTCATATGTTTGTGTATGGACTTCCGGTTGAAGTCTATACTGATCACCAAGCTCTGACAGCGCTCTTTAAGCGGACAAACGTTTCTGCGCGAGTGCTCAGGTGGGCACTGGAACTCCAGAAGTACAACTTAAAGATTATCTATCTAAAAGGTGCTGCCAACCGCGTCGCCGATGCGCTGAGCCGTGGTGCTGTGTCTACAGGAACTCATTGTAGCATTGGTGGCAGAAGAGCCTGAGTGGACAAACGAGCTACGGGAAGATCCTATCTATGCGGAGGTGATAGTGAACCTCGAAAAGGGAAACCTTGACATGGATGTTGCAATACCAGAACTTTCCCATAAGTTCAAAGTTGCGGATTTCATAATGGACAAAAGGTACTTAGCGCTACTGGATAACTGTTCGGTGCGGAGGGTTGTACCCCCGTCCAAGAGAAGAGCAATATTCGAAGAGGCGCATTCAGGCTCGCTGGCTGGACATTTTGGTCCAAAGAAATTGTTCAGACAATTGTCAAAAGACCTGTTCTGGGAAACCATGAAAAGGGATATTGCCCAATGGTCACAAGATTGTCGAGAGTGTCTTTGTCATAATCATCGTCATCCAATGACGCCAGGGTTGAAGCCTATTGTTACAACAAAGCCATGCCATGCAGCTATGTCACATGTGTGAGGGCGTCAATGAGTTAACACATTGACGACAACGCGGGGGATATATATCCCGCGCATTGCAGGCCATGTCGGACCGTGCGGGATATATATCCCCCGCACCCATTACACTCATTTTTTTCGCGCACGCCTGATTCTTTTAGAAGTTTCTTGTATTATTCCATGGAAGAGACCTTGACGTAGCTACAAACATAGTGGCCATAGAATGGTCACGTATGCTTCAATTTAGAGGAGGATTTCTGAACCATACGAAATCTTCAGTTCAATAAATTTTTCGTTTACTTTTTCTTTTTATGAATGTGAAGATTTAAATAGTAGTAGAAGTAGATACGGAACCTTAGGGATGACAATATGTGTGTTTTGATTGAAATAATCAACGTAAAATTGCTTTTGAGGTCCATTGCAGCTAGTTCTGAAAAATTTCGCTTTTTCATTGTTATTCCATGTCTTTCGATCGAAATTCCACTACTGTACCCCTGGTAGGTTGTGCTCATTACAATTTACTGATCTGGTTTTGTATTGATCATTATTTATGTATTTATCACTCAAAATCTGCTTGAACGACCTGAGGCGGCGGCGCCCGCAAAATCGCCGTGGTCCCACGTGGCCAAAAAAGCCAAAACTCGCGTTGTCGTCAACGTGTTAATCAAGATCGCGCCATGAAAGCGATTGCCGTTCAAAGTGCAAAACACTCGAATATTGTGGTTATGCAAAGAACTGACCAGTAAATTCAAGACGCCGTTTTTTCAGACAATAAAAGAAGCATTTTCCAGTGCTAACTTAGTTTGGCGGGACCAGGCGGCGGAGCGGTGCTTTGTTCGTCTGTTCCCCCAAAGGCTTAGTCCCCGATGGCGCGTATTTCGAAACTGCCACGTGATGGCGAAATAGTAACTGCCCTGGGACTAAGCCTTGGAGGAGCAGACGAACAGAGCGCCGCGCCGCCGCGTGGTCCCTCCAACTGAGTTAGCACCGGCCGCTAAATGACAGAAGTTCAGAAGGGAAGACAAACTCAATGGTACGTTCACTTCTAGGCCATTCGCCCTGATGCCACATAAACAACTAATTTTTGTTGATCATTAAAGAACAAAAGAACGAGATATCAGATATAATATGCCACAGCTCCTAGAATGGATTAGAAAGAAAAAAAAACCGAAAATCGCTTGCAACCATTAATCCCTGCAACAAAATTGCCTACAAAAAACACGGGTAATTCGTGAAAATATAATATGTTCAATTATAAGTAGGAAGTAAGGAGCCACTGCAACGATGAGGAAGAAATCACATCACCAAAACTAACACTCCTTCAAAACCGCCTTTACCGCCAGACTGAGAGCATTGGACGCAATCCCAGACTAGGCCGCGAGTCTGGCGGTACCATTCATGACCATTTCGTCCAGTTAGATCAGGGGCCATACGCAACAGTCCTGGACGGAGGGCGAATTCCCGAATCCGGAGATGTATCCCCGGCGGGTTCCGCTGCACACGGCCCCAAGATGGGTCGAGTGTCGAGAAAATTGGTTCCCACCCCTCTTCAAATGCGATCCCCTCCCACAAGATTCTCCAACCCCTGCTGCTTCGACAGCTTTATTTTTTTTTGATTTTTTCCACCAGCACATAGTTGGGGATCTATGAGCCTCGATCCATTTTGGAAATCACAAGAACGGCTGCCTTGTCAAAGAATCCTAGTCTTAGTCTTCTAGTTGCACTGCGGTTCACCCTCCGAAGGATCCGCAGGGGGGGGGGGTATTTAATGTTTCCGCGTATTCTGAATGTGGTGAGAGCGTGGGGAGGGGGAGCAGTTGATCTTTATAGTGGTGGAAGTTGAGAGGCCACTGTGATCGTTATTGCCTTCTGTCCTTATTATGCTTTTTTTTGAAAGTTCAGTTGGTCAGATCGAGTGTGCGCCATGCATTTGATTGATACCCGAAATCGCTGAAGGAATCATTTTGAACGCTTAGGTTTGAGCACAGTCCATTCGTTCCATCTATTGAACAACTCTGTTAAGCTCGCTTGGTTCCGGATCCGATCCTAGTCCAAATGGTTCCAAACGTGCGCTAGCTACGATCCAGCTTGAAGAAGGAGGACGGCCCTAATGAACGGTAAACGTATACGATTCGAAGCGCTGAGCCGGCAGTGATTCAGTCAGCGACTGGATAACAACACTTTACATGGTCGTCGTAAATATTTTCACAAGGCGACGGGAAATAGCACTCAACACCGACGAAGTAAAACGCTTGTTTACAGAATCCTTCTATGTTTTTGGCTTCCACAGCGGCGTCGCACTGCCGCATTGCGACCATCTGATGCTTTTCCTGGCTAGTCACCAGTCGAATTTTCTTTTAGCGCCACGGGGACTCGAATTCAGCAATAGTTCAGATTAAACCAAACACTAAAAATAATCAAGGGCGGGGGACGGGTGCGCCTTCTTTCCATGATTGCAGTAAGGATTGGAAGATTCTTTAGCTCTGAGCTGTCTTTTCAAGGGGCTAAAAGGGGGTGGAGGTCGTCGTTAAAAAGATTATTTCCACCGTTCGTGGCACCTTTTTCGACTTTATGGCCCACAGAAATCCAAAGGCAAGCCTTGTTCACGTCATCGACACCAGCACCGCATCGAGGACTGCGGTTCGAGAGGAACTGAACACTATTATCATTTAGGCATTTTTGAATGGCATTGCTGGGTATGAATTTTCTCGGAAGACGTACTTCCTGGGACGTCATCCACAAACAAGTGTTTCAATACTCCAAAAAAGCAATAAATTTTATTTCCAAAGAAAATCAGTGGAAGTAGAATGATCAATTAGACTAGCTCCAGAAGCGTAGTGCCATAACCCGATGTGTACATTCACAAAAAACGTGGTAGTTTGCAAGGAAAGAAGGAAGAAAATGGGAGACAACAGTTCAGAATTTGTGCCAGATGTCCGTGGTCAGCGTTCATCTGAATGGCTGTCGCCAGCCATCTCGTAACCTTTCGCATTACAGTAATCTCCATGGCAGACACATACGGTTATTCCATTTCCTCTCGAACGACAACCAACACTGTCCTCCATGGCGGCACATCCACCGGATATTCGCCGGTTTTTACTATCTGGAATCAAAGGAATATTAGACATGAAGAAGAGGACTTCGCTGAGCACAGAGCACCAAAGTTCTAGGGAAGCAACAGCGTTTTTGAAGACATTCCCTCTAGAGTGCGTCTTCGTTGGTGATCTCTCCCTTCCCATTTTGACCCTCTGACTGCCCCCTTTTTCAGCGTATGTAGTTCAACTCCTCTGAGTTTCAAAACTCCAACTGGAACAAAAAGAAGAAGGCTTCTGCTAGTTCACTAGGAAAGGGCGTCCACATAAAGAACGGAACCTTTCTCAAAGGCATATTTTGCGATTAGCCTAGTGGACATCACCTCTGCGTCTAAGCTGGATCCGGCAACCGCAGAAGAAGGGCCGCTTTCGTAGGTTGAGACGCTTGACAAGAACGCTGGGGCTTATGACTTGCATACCTGCTCCCATACTCCACCTATTCACGTACGGCTGGAACGCTTGTTGCCTGGGCCTTACTTCCGCCCACTGGCTACTCCAAATAGAAGTCTATTCTTACAACTTCGTCCCCATTGTCTCGTAATAGCAAATTCCTCGATTTATTAACGAAATGAAACCCTTGCACGAGAAACAAGGAGTCATACCTACGCGCACTTGGCAGCATCTTCAACCAAGGCTGAAGCGACAAGGCCTAAGGAAGTCACTCATGTCACTCCACCTGGCAAAAAGCGATCCTACCATAAACCTTTGATACTGCGCTGCTGGCGGAGGGGTTTTATTTTAGGCATTGCCGATGTTTTCGTCTTGTTTTTTCATTACTAATTCTACACTTCACATCAGGGGCGGAAGTGGTGTAGTGACAAGTGGCGCGCTCACCACGCGAGCGGTCCGGGATCAAATCCTGGGTCGTGAGTCGCCCGGGCCAACCAAGCCTTCCATCCCTCCGGGGTCGGTTAATTGGTACCAGACTTGTCTGGGAGGATAAAAAACACTGACTTGTACATCGGCTGGCCCCAAGTCATTGTATAGGCCACATCGCATTCAAACGCCACTACGAATGTACAAATGGAAGTAGAATGCGTGCCGCATCCCAAAAGGGATTGATCAACGGCAAATGCTTTATCCTTTATCCTTTATTCCATCTCGATTGTACCATTTTAAGCGATTTCAGGTAAGCCTCGATTGTCGAAAAAAGGGAAGCTTCCCAATGGGAAGACAGCGGGAGTACTTGCGAGTGCCGGGCTGACACCATCGCAACGAAGGGCAGGCCCCCGGCGATCTAGGATAGAGACCCCGCGACCGCTATCGACACGGCACGCCCACCAACTTGCTGACCGCTCGGCGCAGGTCTTTAGCCCTTTTAGCATAGAGAGCGAGAGAGTTAGCACTGAAGAAGGCGGCACCAAGACACTTGCATCAATGCGGAATTCGATGGGCAAAAAGTCCTCCCTTTGGGGTTTGGTTCTGCCTTCGTCATGGTTTTCTCCACATGCCGGCACCATTGACCACCTCTACCTCAATTCTAATGGGTTGCCTTCTAACGCATTAACTGCCTCCTTAAAAACGTCGTCAGGAAAAGCTTCAATCAGTGATGTCATTAATTGTCCTTCTCTTCGTTTTACTGGCAAGTTAATAAGCATCTATTGTTTTATGCTTGAACCCGCTACCTCCATCTTCTACCGTGGAATGTGCCCTCATAAGTAGTATTGCAATTGAGAAATTGAGGCTTTCTTCCAGAATGATCTTCAGAAAGAGTTTTCAATGAAAGGCAAAACAGCAGCGACGTGAGGGCTCCGTCCAACTGGGGCCACTTCAGGCAACCCCACATGCACCACCCCCCCCCCCCCCGTGACAGACATTTTGACAGCTCCGCGAACGTTGAGAGGGGAAGTCATATGCGTGACACATCTAACGCGGTTGGTGCGCTACCATCCCGTGAAACTTTTATCTCCCAAGAAAACTAACGGTAATTGGATAAAGGATAAAAGGATAAAGCATTTGCCGTTGATCAATCCCTTTTGGGATGCGGCACGCATTCTACTTCCATTTGTACATTCGTAGTGGCGTTTGAATGCGATGTGGCCTATACAATGACTTGCGGGGGCCAGCCGATGTTCAAGTCAGTGTTTTTATCCCTCCAGACAAGTCTATTAACCGACCCCGGAGGGATGGAAGGCTTGGTTGGCCCGGGCGACTCACGACCCAGGATTTGATCCCCGGACCGCTCGCGTGGTGAGCGCGCCACTTGTCACTACACCACTTCCGCCCTCCTTTCTTGGTAATCATGGAAGTACAAAAGTCACCTTTAGTTTTGTACACATACTCGCATCCGTGATCGCATTCAATAATCGTTGTGAACTCTTGTTTACTATACTTGTAACAATCGTCATCGGCATGTAGTTCAGCCGCCAAGAGAAGAAGAACTAATGAGGAAGAAAGTGACGAGTGAATAGTTGCATGGCATCCTGTAATCTGAAACCATGCAAAGTTGGACCTGGTGGAGCAGTAGGGCGAAGGCGCTCTTTTACAGTGGATAGTTTGGAATTCTAGATTTTATACCCAATGCAATGAGAGAATAGGGCAAATCGGCGATCCGGTGATAAGTCGGCGCCACTTTCAACCCCGCTGATTGGTATGAATCCTAGATTCACTCTTACCTTAAGCCAATGCAAACCTAATCCCCCCACCCCATCCTCCGCTTGTAGTAGATTTGTCTGAAGGACAAAACACCCGCTGTTTTGACCGACCGCCTGGGAAGTAAATGATACAGAAATGCCATAAAAATCAAGTCAAGGCTCTGAATGTTAGTAGAATGCGTGGCGCATACTGAAGGGTCGTTAGCACGCAATCTTTCTTTTGTAAAAAGCTACCTGAAGAAGTGTAACTTGAAGGAGGGGAAGGAGGCCTGCCTGCACTCACCACGGACTTTAGAAAATCAGTCTCTCGTTCACCAGAACAATTTTATCGCCAAACACAATGGTCTTGCGTGTTTTTGCGCCCGCTTAATAGAACGTGAACCCACCAACCTGGGAAGAGCTTAAAGGCATGCCCCAGGATCACATTGGTGTGGCTCTTGCACACGAATGCGAATGTATTGGTGCGAAATGGGCCGGCAGTAAAGAAAAAAGGAAAAAGAATCCGTCAAAAACGCTTAGGTTAAGGGCTCACTCACCTTCCTAATCGGCTGTGCTAAGGGAATGAGAGACTAAGCGCGGAGAGGAGAGTATGAGGCGAGAGAGCGCTACAGATGAGAGCGCCAGACAACAGCCTGATAACGAAAAAAGCTGCAGCTCCAGCAGCTCACTTTTACTTTGCAAGGCCCAAACACCCTTGTCGGTTGCTTTCCGTGCGCGAAAACGCCACATTTGTGATTTTCTTCTAGGTTTCTATACAACAGATTGATCGGAAAGCGTTCACACAACGACCTCTGCCTGGGTTGTGCCTTCAATCTGCTTCTGTTCACACGCAATGACCATGTCAGACTGGCGAATCAGCACGACACGATTAGAGCGTGTAGCGTAGCGCCAGCGGTTCGATGGTAAGAAAGTGGCAAGAGTCTCTCTCGTCCGCCGGGACTCTGGGCACTTTCCCATCCTTTCAGGCCCATTCGTATTCCTGTACCTTCGCGAGCCTGGCAAAGGAGGAGTAAACGTGCAAATGAGAGGGATTCACGCCACCTTCCCACTATGGAACCGCCAGCGCGTTGCTTGAATCCTCCAATTCGCCATGATTCGCTGGGTTCGCCAAGATTGACCCCGGCCCATAGCAAAATCGCGACCAAAAGCAACCGCCATTTTTAAAGACATGGCCCGAGCGCAGCCTCACTGAAGTAGTCACCCTCATGGATAGAGGTCCTGTGGTCCCGCCACAGCAGTGGATCGCGCCACGTTCGCACACGCGGACGCGTCACCAAGACGCTGGTCGTATAACTTTCATGAAATTGCGCCATCCAGAGAAATTAAGCTCCGCCACCCTCGCTATTTTCACGCCCCAATAGTAAGCGATCAAGCTTCATGTTCACTTCCTTACATATTTTATGGGTACTCAGTTAGATGGCGGTCAAGAAGTTTGAAACATAGAGTTGATGGATGGGAGAAAGAGATAAGGGGGAAAGAATAAATAAAAGGGATAAAAAGAAATGAGGAACATTGAGGGGAGGGGGTAACATTTCGAGAAACTCAAACAGACAGCGAAATAAGAGAGTCAGTACAAAGACCTGAAAATGTTGGAGTGGCGGATAGTAAAAAAAATGAAAACCTGTTCTTCCCTAATTCACTGTGGAAAATCGCATTAACTTGTCGAAGGGAAGGTTGCTGAGGGCGTAGAGCATTTTTTGAATTCTTTTTTGCACCCCACAGGGGTACGTGCGGGGAACGTAGGGAGAAAGGGGGTCAGTGGCTGCTGTCAAAACTTAGTAAAGATTGGCTTATGGTTCGATCATCATAGCGAAAACATTTGCATTCTATTGATTTTCATTTTCTTGTGGCTAAATAAATACACTTTGTTCTCGGCGGCCAGACATGTCTCAAGTGCGCACTCAATAGTACACGTGGCGATGGCCCCTAAAAAATCGACGTCACGCTCGTTCTCTGATAATTTTAATCCTATTGACGCGAGTGTGTAAACAAATCTGCAATTACGACATGAACGGCACGCGGGAAACAACATTTCTCTTCTGAAAACTCTCTAATTATAAAATTACTAACTGCTTCAAGTTGTACGCAATGAGTTGTAAAAGTTGTAAAAATTATAAAAACTATGAAAGAAAATTTCCCTTCTTTGGACATTCTTCAGACGAGCTTGGGTTTGGTTTTATGCTCAGTGCATGTACGTGAAACAAGTAAAGCGGAAAAGTGCATTTCTGTTATTGTTCGTTTTCGGATGGCGCCATGCACACGTTTTCCATCAAGTTCGTAGAGGTGTTTTAATTAGTGTCCAGCTCTCTACATACGATAACGCTACTGTACGGCTCTCTCTACTGTGAGTATTCATTCAATCATTCATTGCGTAGTGAGCCAAAAGTCGAATAGCGCTCTCCCAACCCTCTCAACCATGAAAGTATTCGATTTCATTGCGACGCGGATATCGTATCACGGTACCTGACCTTTCACATTCTATACGAGAAAAAGTACAAGTGCACTATTCCAACATCCGCTTAAACATCACAAAGCAGCAATTTCAGTGCTTTTTCTCTTAACTACTTGTTCGCTTGCTATTATTGGCCCCTTGTTACGGTAACGCCAAGACGAATAGGGTGGCCGCATGGTGAGCCGTAAAAAAGATTAAGAGTCACCCTTAGGAGATGTGGGCGATGGTGGGCGGAGTTTGACCGGGGTGGGCGGAGTTTAACCACGCAGGCAGAGTGCTCGTTCGAATTCTTGGTTTGTGGAGAAAATGGAGGATTTGATTCGAATGAATGAATAAATAAATGGTATAATATAATAATGAACATAATAAGATAATAATAATAAATAGGACCAGGATTCTGAGATACCGTATATCAAAGAATGAAGACCAAAGCGGTCAATGTGGACCAATGCAAGTGTGTGCCGCGCTACTCGTGTTAAGGGGAGACTTCGGCCGAGCCTGTTGAAGCTCAAAGAAACGCTCGAAATATTCAGCCGAGTCGTTTGCTTATGTATGTACAGGCAAAAACTGAACATGGTAAACGGCGTGAGAATATTGGTTCAAAACGAAAATATCATACTGATAAAAATAGTTACAAAACAGGGCCATGAAAGCCTCCAAAATAGAGCCAATGGTTAGAGAGCAAAAAATTGAATAGTTCCAGGAATTTTCTTCGAAAACTCAATAGCGTGGCACTTAGTGAGTGAGCAATCGATGCGACGTTGAAAGTGTTTACACGACAACCGGTGAGAGTTCAAACAGAGCCCATCGAGTCGTAGTGATCGACTATCGATAGATTAACCTCGGTCCCATCGGCGACAAATTGATTTAATTGATTAGTTCCACTTCCCATTTTATTGAATTGATTGAAAGGGCAACCGAAAGTCGCGAAAGGGTTGCTGTGAAATTTTTAAAACAAAGTTCAAGCTATTCTGATGCAGTGCTAA